TTTGGCACCAGCCCCTCCAGCGTCGGCCCTGGGCCGCAGGTAGCGATTCCTCTTGCAGCTCCCGCACCGCGACTTCCCTGCTTTGCTTGGAAACAGTGCTGCCGGCGCCGGTTGATTCCTCCAGTCCTTAGCGAGTCCTTTGGATTTGCTGGAAAGACTTGGGCTTTCCAGTTCTCACGCTGGCCCAGAAGGGTGACAGTCAGGTTGCAAACACAGGAGGTGAAAGCTTTACGTCGCAGAATAATTCCGAGCGGTTTTGTTGGGAACATTCCTTCTGCCAACAGATGCAATAAAACCACCTTTTTGCTGGCCTTAGCCCCAGCTCTGGCCCTGTTTCCGTTCACTTTTCAAATCCAGAACTTGCTATCCCGGATTTTTCTGCAGGGTTGAGCTCCGAGTTCGGCGCAGACGGGTCCTTTACAGCTCCGTGGGGTTTTAGGGATCCCTGCCCGTAGCTGCAGTGACTGTCAAGCTCACCTTGCTGGTTCAATGCTTAAATACCATGATATCCCAGGAGTCCGTACTGGGAACGAACTGGAACCTGGTTTATTTTGGTTCTGGAGGCTGTTCCCGTGCCGCAGCAGCCGGTTCCCAGGGATCTGTGTGCCAGCTCGGCAACGTTTAGGAGCGTAAAACCGTTGACAGGCGTCAGGGTTCGCGTTCTCCGAAGCGTGTGCCGTTCCCGTAGCCTGTCAGCCTAAAGGTTCAGCTCTTATTAGAGCCTTCGCTCCGGATCCGAGCTTGCTGTCATTATGGATTGTCCTTCCAGCACTCGGAAATCAAGGAGGGAGATGCGATAGCGTTGCCCCGCGCTGATTTAGCCGTCAGCTTGACGGCGCGTAGCACGGGAGAGTAAGCATGCTTGTTTTTCCGGCCCTTCCCTTCTCCACACAGGTTTTCTTCGGAAAGCCACCGTGGAATATTTCTGGGACTCGGGTAAAAATTGCTGCTTTCGTCCCGGCTTTGGTCTGTGATCCAAGATAATCATTTGGGAGGTGTTGCTGCGCAGGTGGGGGACGTGGAGAACCCTCCTCAAAGCCAGGGGGCTTGGCCGAGCCGGGTGTTTGGTGAGGCTTTTCCTGTTTTGAGCTCGAGCTTCACGTGACTGGAGTGTCAGCAGAAAGCCGAGCCGGGGGGGAAGGGAGTCAGCGGGGGAGATGAGGTTTGACTTTTCTGCTGGGTAGAGCGCGCGGCGAGGTGGCCGGTGGCTCGCCACTCCGGTTTCGGGTACAACGGGACGCCTGGAGCCCACGTCAGTTGGTTTCGCTTCCGGGTGCTTTGGTTTTTGGAAGGAAAAGCTGCCCCCACCCAACCCAGCGCCGGTTCCAGCTGAACGCGACCTCGTCTGTCGCTTCTCCAACTCCGGCCTAATATAGAGAAACGCTCGGTGTGGCTTTTCCGTGGCACGATCCGCTGCCGAGTATGGAGCTGGGTTTCTCTCAGGGTTCCGCTCTGGATTCAGCGGGTTGGGCATCTTCCCAGAAAGTCTAGGGATGATTAGTGCCCTCTGAAAGGTCTTTATTACATGCCATCTCCTCCTTCCCTTGCAGTGTGTGCTGTATTTATGGAGTTTAAAGATAAACCATCCCAAAACGTTGTTCCTCCTCCGAGGGAACCACGAGTGCAGGCACCTCACAGAATAC